CCTGCATTTTGGTGTATTTTAACAGGTTGTTAAACATCTACGTGCTTGAAAAAAAAAAAAAAAAAAAAAAAATATATATATATTTTTTTTTTTTGTGGACCCCAAACCCCGGCTTGCGAATCCCCGGGGGACTGGGTACCCTAACTTGAGAACCATGGTTATAGAGGTATGTTTTCAAAGTTAGAATGAATTTTAAATAAAAAAAAAAACCTCCCTCTAACATCTAAAGCAGCTGAATGAATATCTTTTAGGGGCAGAGAGATGCCACTATTTCACCACAGTTCTTGTCAGAAAGCTTGCAAAGAATAATAGAAAATAATAGTATTTAACAAAGTAGATAGCAGTCTGTGCCGAGTGTTCTTATGAGGTGAGAGCAGAATATAAACTGAGACAGCAGACAGCTGAAGACTGACATGAGAGCCGAGGAAGCCGCCTGCGTTTTGACAGCTAGGACGCTCTGAGAAACCCGTGAGCGCCGCAAAAGTGGCCCGGCGCTCCCAGGAGACACTCGCACAGACTCCAAATGTCATCTGACGTGAATGAGACAACTCCTGAGGCCTTTCGACCACAATGAAGTGCGTCCTCAATGGGAGCAAACCGTCCAGATGTTTGACCTTTATCACTCAACCGAAGCCTTTTTGACATTTTGAGTCCTTCATTTATTTCTCTCTTGTTGCTCTTTTCTTGTTTAATTTATTTATTTATTTCGCTGTGTTGCACTTTACAACTGAAAAAGGACAAAGTGACAACTTTCAACTTCAAGTTGTCATTTCTTTCTAGCAATAACGCATCAAAAGTTGTAGTTTTAGAAAAACGAAGGCATAATAAAGAAGGCGTTTATTCCAGCTATGACATAAATGTGCATTTGTTTTGATCGGAACCAAAGCCTTTGCAATGGTTTTTTATTGTTGTTGTTGTTTCCAGAAAAGTATCAGTGCTAGAAATGGTCTTTTAGGTAAAAAGGAACATTTGAATCAGTAAAAATACATTTAAAGAAATGTCTCAAGCCCTCAAACAGCTCTTCAGTTCACTAAAATTTCAGGATAACTATGATGTCATATTAAGTTGAATGTTTTTTATGTTTTGGGTGAGTTCTGTTTAAACTATCTAAAAAAAAAAAGTACACTATGTTCAGCTGGATTGTTGGGTTACAAACTGCTAATAGCAGCACACAGATCACTGATGGCTCCAGCGTTTCATCAAAATTTAACTGAATAAATTACATATTCCACAACATCTTGATTCATTTGAACTTTTGAAGGTTTCATGCTGTTTTTATTTACTCAGAGACTAAAAAGGAAACAACAATGATTGGATGAAACTAATTTGTTCTGTGCTGGATGAAGCAGAATCGCTGACAGAGCAGTGAGGTCAGTGGAGGCTTATTTGACATAGAGTTGTGCCTTAAATTAACGCTTTAATGGAAATCTAGAAAGAAAATGCACAACCTTTAAATCAGATCTCCTTTCATTCAGAAGACAAGAAGCTGATAACCTACAGAGTACCGTATTTTCCGACGTATAAGTCGCTCTGGAGTATAAGTCGCATCAGTCAAAAAAAGCATCATGAAGAGGAAAAAACATATAAGTCACATTTTTATGCATTTATTTAATGGTCAAAACAGCTTAATTTTGCCTGGGTGGCTCCATCCATCCATCCATCCATCCATCCAAACAGTAACTGCTGCTAAGTGACTCCCAAATTATAGGAGCAGTGTGGAAAAATGAAGCCCTACAGTTTCCTTTCTAGTCAGTGCAAGTAGAACATTTGTGTATGCACAAAAGATCTTTGCCACAAAGCTTTAACTCTGACCGTCTTCATTTAGTCCCTTTTTCTCTTCACACAGATTATATCTATAGTTGGAAGATGACCAAAAACATGAGCAGTTGCAAAGTGGCAGCCAGATTAAACAAGATTATATATATTTTTTAAACATACAGCAATAGACCAACAATTTTCAGTCAGGTCATCTGGACAGTTTCTTTTTTTTTTTTTTGTGCTGAAACGTTTCACCTTCCATCCGGAAGGCTTCATCAGTCAAGGAAACACACAACAAAACTGATTCTTCCCCCAACAGTTTACTCCAAAGTGGAACAAACCAGTTTTGCTTGTGATAAGATGGTCTCTTTGGTACGCCCCTCCTCCATTGCCGGCTCTCTTCCTTGTTGACAGTCGTGTCAAACTGGTTGAAAACAACAAAGTCCATGCTCAATAATCCAGGTATACAATCCAACATTTTTCAGTCAGGTCATCTGGACAGTTTTTTTTTTTTTTGTGCTGAAACATTTCATCTTCCATCCAGAAGGCTTCATGGAGGAGCATGGACTTTGGTGATTCAGCAATAGAGCTCTTTTATTAAACAGGCTCATACATGAGATGAACTAAAGAGAGCATTTAAAAAAGCATTTCTTTGTAATGTAGCTTCTTATTAATCTTAGGGTGCATTCACTTCAGCCCTGTTTAGTCCGCTTTAAACAAACTCTGGTCCATTTGCCTAGAAAGTCCGGTTTGTTTGGGGAGGTGCGAATGCGCAATCGAACTCTGGTGCGGACCAAAAAAGCGAACTCTGGTCCGCCTAAAAACCTAGGTCTTGGTTTGTTTGAAGTGAACTCTGGCACGGTTCGAATGCAAGCGGAGCGGAGACAGCTCCAAAAGCAGGAAGTGGACTACAGAGCATTCTGGGTAAACACAACCCAAACAAACGCACATTTCCACCTTGTGTAAAAAACAACATCATTTGTGGTCTTCTGCATCATCTTCTGCTCATGCTGAGTCCATTGTAGAAAAATGTTTGTTTGGCACATGAGCCACAGACTAAACAGAAATCCTAAAACGCTAAAATTTGACACCACCCCATTTTTTTTTTTTTTCCAGAAGTAAGTTGCGCTCAGTGTCTTCTTCAGAGGTTTTCGTGTCATTTCCTTCTAGTAGTTCCTGGTGCAGCGCCACCACAGGCGAGGGGGGGGAACATGTTGGCTCGAATGACTCGGTGCAGTGTGAATGTGAACCGCACCAGCTGAAAATGTAAACAAATGTTCCAAATTTTGGTCCCCAATCGAACCGAGTCTACCGGACTATCAGGTGTGAAAACGACCTTAGTGCGTTACAGCCAACAAGTGATGCTATTTGAAAACATGAAGCTGTTATTTTATTGTTACAGTAGATCTGTTTAATTTAAAGTTTATTTTGGATGTTTGTGTGTGTTTGGTGACTCACTCGACTGTGTCCTCCCAGCTACACCACTGACTCTGGTCCAGCTCCTGCATGTCCAGCCGGAATTTGGCTAGACAGAACTCGTCAATGGCAAATTCGTAGTGCGACCCACAACCCTGCGCCAGCACACACCGAGCCACTGCTGAGACGGAAGAAGAAAGGGAAAGATATGAGCGGCTAAAAAGGAAAATAAACAGCAAAGAGTGGAAGAATTGATCAGAAAATCATGGATAAAACACAAAACAAATCTAAAAATTAGTTTAAAGACTGACAATATGAATTCTCCTAGAAAGTTCCTGGACAAACTTTGATGGGGACTGCCACGCTGCTGCCAGTTTAAAATTTTGATTTGACGGACTGTGTGTTGGAGTTTGCTCACAGCTACCACTATACCAGTTATCAGCTCAACATGGCAAAAAATCAGTTAGTTAGAGTCATTCTTTCTTTTAAGCTATGGTGGCCATGTTGGATTTTTTTATTTGGATTCAGTATATGATGGGCAACATTCTCAGCTATCACCACACAAATGTTTAGCTCAATATCTCTAAAATTAGCTGATTTATAGTTTTTTTTTTTCCTTTTTAGCTCAGGTGTCCATCTTGGATTTTTGATTTGCATTAGGAATGTATGAAAACTCACTCTCAGCTACGACCAGAGCAAATTTCAGCTCAATATCTCTAAGAATGATGGAGTTATAGCAGTTAGAAGCTGTTGAGTTCTATCTGGCGTTCTGAATGATAAAAACGGCATCTTTGTTAACAAGTTATGTTGCCATGTTAACTCAAAACGCCGATAAAAGTAATAGCACACATTACTGTGCCGAGCCGGTCATTTTGATATAAAAATTGTGGGTGTAAACATTGCTGTTCGGACTGCATTAAAGTTGACAGAAGAGCAAGATATAAAGTTAAGAAATACTTGTTAGGTGGATAATAATAGGCGCTGCCTTACTAGGCAGTCCCCCCAAAAAATAGCTGACAAGCATATTTTTGTAAATACACACATTTCATTATTTTTAATTATTAGAGTTTATGTACAATAAATACATTATACTAGCATTAACGTTAGTTAAATCCACTTCAAGCTAGTTTTTGACATGTATAAGTCTGAACGATTGAAATCAGCTGTAGGGCTGCTTGAATAAATCACAGATACTGAGAGCAAACTTTGTAATTACATAAGTGTACGTTAAATTTTAAATCTAGTTTTATTTTCAATTAACTCAGTGTCAGGTGGGCTGAGTTGTAGATCATCTGTATGATAGGAACACCTCTCTGATTAAAATATTTTACATTTCAGATTGTTTTAAAATGCTTCACGCATAGGATTTATTTTTCCTGATTTAAAACTGGTTTTGAATGAACTCATTGGTGGGCCAGACTGGGCTCACCTGTGAGCCAGAAGTGGACCCCAGGCCACCAGTTGAATGGCCCCTGGTCTATTATGAGTTCTATTGAATCTTTTTCTTGTCTTCCTTCAGCATTTTGTTGCTTTTTATCTACATACTTTACTCTCAGTGTCAGATTTTTTATCGTGTCTTATCTCAGTAACTCTGAACCTGTTTTCTTTACTAAGTCTCACAACTCCTTTAAATGTGGACAAAGAATACTAGTTGTCTATTGAAGAACTGGAAATGTATCCAGCTGGTTCCTCCCAGTAAACTCTCCCCTCTGAATATCAAACCTTCACCACACAGCAGCCTTGTTGATCACTAAAGAATCTTTTGTCTTCATTTCAAGAACATGACTGTCCTCAGCTCATGCTCATAAAAAAAATCACCTAAATGTTCATAACTACTGATTTTCAGTTTCTGATCCACTTGTTTGACTTGAAACTTGACCCCTGTTAACAAAGAGATAAAACAATGACATTTCCACCAGAAACAGACATAAATGATCACGCTTTTTCCAGCACAGCCAGCTTCCTCCCACTTCTCTGCCAGCGTCGCCTCTGCTCTACCTCCTTTTTGCTCGTTTTCCTCATTAGAGGTGATTAGAGGAGATTAGTCCCTCTGTTCTACACCGTGCTCGTGTCTGGATGACCTGCGTCCTCTGACCACCCAATACACTCGCTCTAAACTGCCTGACTGATGCATGTAGTGACCTGAGAGCTGCTAAAGACAATGGTACAATCAATCACTTCTATCCTCTTTTTCATCCCATGTCACTTCTGCTGAAACAGTTTTTATTTTCTAAATGACATTAGCGTCATTAATGACACTCGTTTCCTCTTCTCCAAAATCCAAACACTATTTAGTCCATTTCTGAGGCAGTCTGACACTTTAAATAAATAAATGTGTAATAAAACAAACCACTTAGCTTTTCAAATCTACTGAAGGAACTGTGTGCAAAATGTTGCCTTTTTTACAAGTAGTGTCCATAAGCTGGACAATGATTGTTGTTTTCATGATAGTTCCAAAAAGAACCTTGAGTTTCTATGGTAAGGTTATGAACATTTAATTTATCTCGGCTGTTGTAAAAAGCTCTTTAAATAACCTCAGCTTGGAGCAAAAAAAGTTTCATTTTGACTGGACTAATGAGCTACAAGCACATTCACATGAAATAAATCACAAAATGCATTTTTCATAATCCACTATGAAATTCCACTTTCGTATTGGCCCTGCTTAAACCATGAACTCATCATTCTGGTCAGAATCAAAGTGTATTTCTTCAAACTGAGGCCATTCAAAGAGTTATGTACAACAGGTATGATATTCATTGTTCATACCTTTTCCACAAAACCCCACAATCAAATGTCTGAGTTATCATTTTGAAAGATTAGTTCCTCAGACGTGGAATACGTATGAATAAAGCATCACATTATTATTATTATTATTATTAATAAACTGTTGTTGTATTCCAACATAAAAAAATACCATTAAAAACTGAATCAATTGCTAAAGCCATCATTTTATTACGCAAGTTTAAAAGTGACTTGAATAGTTGTCATTATTTTAATGGTTTCTCCTTTAAATATGTCATGCATACGGGGGGAAAGCACATTTCTGCCTCAGCTGCCACATTTCTGGAAAAAGTCAAAAGACCTTGCAGAGAAAGGACTGACAGATGTACGAATGAACGTTCGGAAACTTGAATCTCCGGTGAAGGCTACCTCTATGACAGCAAGTCCAAAGTTCTCTCAGGCATACATAGATTTTAACATGTTTTGGGTCAGTGAAACAGGCTGGATGACCAGAGCCTTGGGGGGTTCAAGTGCACGTTGCAAAACCCCCGGCAACCTGCACACAATCTGAAAGACCAGGTAGCCATTTGTGCACATAAACAAATAGAAAGTTTTGCTCAAAGACACACAAATGGACACACGTCATGAGTTTACTGAACATCCTCAACTAGACAAGTCAGTGACCCGATCCTAATCCAGCCGTGCTGCTCTCCACTTCCTGAAGACCAAACTGAGAGCAGACAGAGGACTGAAGCGTTGGTTCTGCTGATCCTGAACCAGTCTGAGTGGCTTGTGGAATTACCATAATATGACAAGTCCCTCCACTGTTCTCTGTGATCATTTCGTTTGTGTTTTTATGCCTTTGGATGAGCAATAAAAGACTGGGTGACCCTTTGTTGTTTGGGGTTCACCAACAGGAAATTATTTGGTTTCTGAACACAAAGCCCTGTTGGACTTTTTCAAACAATGATTAGACGTATGATAATTAAACTGGATTATTTTGTTGGGCTTTGGCTCCTTTACACCCTTTTGAATTTGAATAATTTAGAAATAAAGTCTGATATAAACTGCAAAAAACAGAACTACTTGAAATAATCCAAATATTCCTAAAAGTGACCTTTTTTTTTATTTTGAGAAAGAATCTTCCAGTGGGGTAAGCAAAATTTGCTTGGCTAGAATTCTTCAAATTAGCAAATTAATCTAACTACTTTTTGCCTTTAAACTAAACTAAATCATCCCAAGTTAAAGAAAATTGCACTTCTTACAGACAGCTTTCCTTAAGAAATATTTTCTTAGAATGACTGTTATAACCGCTTCATTAATCTGATTTTGAAGATTTTTTTAAGCGTCATTTAAGAAAATTTGACTTATAACAAGGATAGACCCTGATCTTTACCCAAATTGAGAATTGTACACTTTTGAACTAGCTTTTGTCTATAATTATTTTCTTATGTTAGGATTTTACATCTTAATTTACTTTGTATTTAGTATGCCCCTTTGATTAAGCTGTTTTTAAGATTTTTTTTATGCTTCAAGAAAATTTGACATATAACAGGAAAATACACACCTGATCTGTAGATTATACCTGATTATAAAGATATGAACCAAATTAATGGTCTAAATCTCTGCAGTCTGAATGTTTGCAGTGATGTTTATATATTTGGGTAAGGAATAAAGGATGGAACTTAAATATGCATAAACTGTACCAAAAAAGCTATGAATATAAAAAAAAAAAAAAAAAACTTGTTTACATGAATTTAATGTGGCTAATGCTGCAGGGAGAGCTGAGAAATGTTTTCCGCAGCGCTTTAATCAAAGACAGGGACTGAAATGAAAGATTGTGTTTGTGAGTAGAAGAAGTGGAGGAGAGATCATGTGAAATCTTCAAACCTAACAGAACTGGACTTGGACTGGTTTCAACGGTGATCCACACGGACATGTCCAGATTTGGCTCCTCTTTTAACACGATATATGGTTAGGATCAGAAAGCTAAAGCTGAATTAAAGTACACATCTCTGCAGGAATGCAAACCCCTGCCTCCCACATGTTAGATTGTCTGACTTTCAACTTCACCACATAAATGGCACAAAGCTCCTAGGATGAATAATTTCATGGGGGTAAATTTGCACAACTTTCCAACATAAACATAGTTCTTATGTCTGCTTAAAGTCAAATTAGTCAGCGGGTTTGAACACTGGTACTTTGTCTTTTTATGGCGATTTATTTCTCCCCCATCTGCAATTTGATGATTCTAGGGTCTTATATTTTAAATTACGCTTTTGGTTCAAAGAAAATTATTCATGCTAAGGCACGGATATTCGCAACAAGACAGTTTACACAGAAACAAAATGTAGCCACTCTTATTTGAACCTTTACAAAAGATGTGAATGAACTTTCATGTGACATTAAGCGATCAAACACGGTGGGAGTCAAGGCAGAAAGTTTGCTGATGACATAAAG